CCTAGTCAAAATGTCCCAAATTAGTCGACTGACTGAAAGAATAACTAAACGTTATTATCTGCATACAAAATACTTGATTTCAATTAAGTTAGACAGTTTCAGTTGTGTACCACTACATACAGCTACATACAACTGAGTGAATCTTAATCATTTTATTTGCGACACGAGTCGCTTAACGCATTGTAATTATCGCCGAAAATGTCGCTCTTATCTCGATATTCTTATCGCATTTTTTTTTATTAAAATAATTGTTTTATAGTGGAATCATTACACATGAAATAGAATTGAATATGGCACGTTTCGGATATTTCCTCATTTCATCACCTGTCGAATGTGATCATATAATTTCTTCTAACGCAACATTTCGAAGTGAGACTCTTCAATTCATATGGCCATAAACGATATATCAGTGGATGCTCTGACTTAATTTATACATCTCTGATACTCGACCAATGGGTGTGCGAACAGCTAATTGCATACCTTGTAATATTCGGTGAGTGCCACTAAAAATATGTACACTCATTTAGTGCGTGATACGCATACGAAAGTGAAGCAAAGCGAAAGGGAAGCGCGAAACTAGAACATAGAGTCAATGGGTACTACATGTTTGTGTTTGTGTCCGTATTCTAACGACGGAGTGACGAAAGGTATGCGCGCTATATTGTTCGTTCGTATGGAGTTGCCCGCTTCTCTTTCGCTTTGCTTCATCTCATCCGCGTGCGTCTCACTCACTAAATGAGTGACCATGCGTCTCACGCATTAGATGAGTGTGAATATTTTTTTAGTGACACTCACCGAATATTACCATGTATGGCTAATTGAACAAAAGCAGTCAAAATCAACGTACGCAGATCGTGTCTAGTGAATGAACAGAATTTGTTTTCAACAACGCACGTCTCTTGCGAGCTTCTTTTTAGTGTATTTGGAATAATTGAGTGGGAAAAACGAAATGACATTCGAAAGCAACGAACAACAGAGCGAACAAGATGACAAACACAACTACCGATATCGACGGTTTTTGTCACAGGTGAACTTTTTTACGATTTTGATTATCCGTTGATAGTTTTACCTGATTGAGATTGAGTCGATTTTTTCAAAAATAAAATCTGACATGATAACTAATTCAATTAAAAAATTGCCGAATGGCATTCAATGAATTATAAATTATAATCAATACAAAAACACATCTAAATTTTCAGTTTATCGCAGCATCGGTCAAAAATTTACTTCTTTTTGATCTTGGCATGTGTATAGCGTTTCCAACTGTAATAATTCCAGCTTTAACGGGCATCACAAATGAGTTCAACCGAAATGAATATCTTTCACTCACACCGTCTCAAGTTTCGTGGCTGGGTGCGTTTTAACTTACTTTTCTTTTTCATTCCAATGTGTACCACCTTGGGTAACCAATTCACCTTTGAAAGGTGACCTTTCACATAGTAACCGAAAACACAAAGTTCTTCTATCACAGATTTGTAATAGTTCTTTTTTATGGAAATAGGGAGCATTCCTTATATCCTTAAGCCACTGGGAAGTGTTATATCAGCGATAATCACGGATCCCTTAGGT